CATATGTGGCCTTTAAAGAACTACTAAGATAGCCTTTTAAATCTGCTTTATTAGCGTCACAATATATAATGAGCATCTTCCCATGCAATAGATAAATTCTGCTAACAAAAAAAAATGTAAGACTGAGTCAAAAACACAAGTTTCAGTTAGAAGCTGGCAGGAGTGGAGACCCATGGGGAACGAGTGACACCAAAAATATTACAACAGTACATCACAAACATGTAAGTTTTGAAAGCAGGGGTCCCCATATCACCTTCAGAGGAAACCTCAGGACTCAGGGCATAAGGCAAAACTCATCATGGTGGTCATGGTGAGGGGGGTCGGTGCTAACAGCACGCATGGTATAGCTCAGCTGCTTTTCCCGTAACTTCTCCATGAGCTGTCTCATATCCTCCCCAAACCTTTGTACATTCTCCTCTCTCATCCTTGCCTGGGGCTCCCCAACCCTATACACCAGGTCCCATCTGTAGTGAGCGATGGGCTGCCTAACCCGGAACCGCCTGCGACCTCCTCTAGGCACATAGTATTCTCCAGCTTCGAAAGGCAGGGCGATAATCGCCTCCCTTTTGTTAGCATCTTGTGGCTTTTCTTCCTTCTCCTCCTTTTCCTGATGGTCATTTGCCATGTTGAGATCTTTTACTCCTTGTTCCACTTTGGACTCCATTTCTCCTGGAAGACAAGAGAAATGTTCAAAGGTTCAGCACCGAGGACAGAGGCCCATCTTCCACCATTCACTATCTTGGATGTCCATGTGTTTGTTTTTCAAATTTTATTTTTTTCTACCTGAAAGGCTCAACACGCCCTCTAGGGGGCCCCCAGTCCCAGACCCTCCCTCTCTACAACCCACCATTTTCCCTGCAGATCTGTTTCCAAAGCTTTTGCAGGCATCAAAATGGAGGATGGAACTGTGGGGATGGTGGGTGGTGGAAGGGGAGCTGGGAGGTAGAATGAGAGGCATGGGATGGTAGGTGGGAAGGGATGGATGAGGGGGATATGAGGGGCCTGACGTCCTAGACGGGGCTTTCCCCACCCTCCTCCAGCCCCTCCCCCAGTTCCATCCCCCCCCCACACACACACACAGCCCCTGAACAGACCTGGGCCTATCCCTTGCCGCGTAGTCCTCTCAATTCTCGCTGCGAGACGCGCCGCCGCGACTCTCGGCTAGCAGACCTGCAGACAGGGTGAGATGGGGGGGACTCGGCGCCGAGCTCGGCACCGCACCCCGCTTCCCGAGACCCACCGCCCAGCCCCCTCCCCGGCCGCCCACGCTCTCCAGCAGCCCGTCCCCAGCCCGGCTCTCCAGGGCTCGGTCGAGCGCTCTCCGCGCCGGCCGGCCCAGCCGCCCCCTCCCCGGGACCCCCGCGCCGTCCCCGCCCCTGAGCCGGGCGCCCCTTCCCGGGCGCAGCCGGGCTTCCCCGTGCGATGCACAAAGCCGAGCGCAGAGCCGCGGTGCGCGCCCGCCCGCCCGCTCGCCCGCCGCCAGGCTGTCGCCCTCGGGGCCGCTGCGTGCAGGCCCCTTACCTGCCCCGCTCGCCTTGGGCCCGATGCCAGCCCGCCGCGCGCAGAGAGGCTCCGAGCTGGTGGCCAGACTCGAGTGACGACTGCACCCAAGGCTGCGTCGCTCTGCAGCCCCGGGTCACGTGAGGGCCCCGCGTCACTGCCAAGCTCGCTCCCCCAGCTCAGGAGGCCAGTGCGACAGGAGGCCCCGCCCCCCCCTCCCCGCCGCCAGCGCTCACCTCAGGCCCCACCCGTCACTCATCCGAATCCTCACCAATCTGAGGAACCACAAGTGGCATCACCGTCAGGAGGCTGGACATCTCCCTTCCCTGTTACCAGGGAGAGTCTGCACCACCCTCCTTGGTTCAACACACCACACCCTCATCCCGGCAGTCTGTTTTCTCTCTTCTTTCTATCTGTATAAATCCTTTCTATTAATTCCTCTTTATTTTTCTTTTTAAATGTTAATGAGTCTTAGCCACAACTAGTGTCTCATTCTTGAAATCCTGGCACTGGAGAGGCTGAAGTAGGAAACTCACCATGAATTGGGACCGATATAGATTACATAGTAAATTTCAAATCACTTTTGGCCACAGAATGAGACCCTCTTTCAAAACAAATTTTCATGACCCAAATTGTGAAAAGTAGGAGATCTATTTTTTAAACAAAATGTTTGAAACTGGCAACGTAAAAATCAACCAAACACACATGGAAAAAAATGTTCTCCTATGCTTTGTGCTCAACTCAATACATTTACGCTGATTGTCACAAACTATTTTTAGAACATTATAGTTTGTTTAAATTTTTTCCTGGAAAAACTAAAAACAAAGGGTCTCCTTGAACAATTTGTGTATTTAAAATCAGAAACAAGTCCAGTTTTTAGAACATAGTAATTTCTTCTAAGCAATCTTTTCCCCTTCTGGAACCAATACCAAGTATTAATACATTAATTCTGTTCTGTTTTATCCTATAATTACCATCATTCTTTAACTGTAGAAAGACTTTTGCTAGCAACTGAAAATTTCTGGCTATGGGTAGCTTTAAGGATCTAAGCAAAGGGAAAAGCTATGAGGGTTGAGGGACCAAAGTTATTATCATCCCTGCTCTGAAAGAGATTAGAAAGGCGCTGGTTTCCCTATCACCAAATTCCAGAGACCTTCATTTCCTACATTCAGGTTCCTGTTGTATATTTCAAAACCACACGGAGAAACCACCTTTGGTTCCTCTTCTCCAGTTCTTGCAGAAGCCCTCTCCTAGTCCTTTTAGCATTGATTAGAGGTCTGCTCCCATATTGGAAACCACAGAAGTATCCTAAATTTTGTAGATTCCAAGTAAATTATGCAAGTGTCTCTTGGGTGAGGAGAAAGGGGGCTCCCAAGACTGGATGCCTTTCTTTTCGTCTAGCTCCAGCTGTCTGTGTTCTGGTTGTTAACGTTTGTAGCATTCGAGGTGTGGCCTGCTGGGACCCTTTTCATAACTGCTTCACCTCCAGACCATTGAGACAGAAAGATCTCTGTGAGTTTGAGGCCAGACTGGTAAACACAGGAAGTGGCAGGTCAGCTGGGGCTACATAGTGAGATCCTGTTGTTAAAAAAAAGAAAGAAAACAAGAAAAGCAAAACCAAAACCCAAAACAACAAACAAACACAGAGAGATCTCAAGTGAATGACATAAAGATGGGGATTTAAAAAAACAACAAACAAATCAAAACAAAAAAAAACCAAGCCCAAACTTAACACATAGCAAGAAATAATAAAGATTAAAGGAGAAATGAATAAAATAGAAACTAAAAGAACAATACATGAACCAATCAAAGATTTGGTTCTTCAAGAAGATTAATGATACTCACAAAATCTTAGCAAGCTAACAAAAGAGAGAAAAAACAAGTCAATAAAATCAGAGATGGGAGTGGAGTTGTAAACAGAATTCAATTATGGAACACTTTGAAAATGTTTATCCTAAAAAGATGGAAAACTCTAAAAACAATAAATAAATTCTCAACTCCTATGTTTTACTGAAATTAAATCCAGAAGATGATATAACAAATTAAAAAGACACACAAAAAACAATGAGATTGACACCATAATTAAAAGTCTCTCCACAAGGCAAAGCCTTGGCTTTCGAATTCTATCAAGCGTAAAAGGAAAACATAATACACTGCAACACTACTGAAACTGTTTCATAAAGTAAAAAAACAGAAGGAACACTAAAAAGCTAATTCTATGGGCCAATTATTATTCTGACAACAAATCTGTATTAAGATATAACAGAAAAAGAAATCTGCAAGCCAATTTCCCTTGTGAAAATACAAGCAAAATTTCTCACCCAACAGGATTGGGTGCATTCAGATATAAGAGCTATGGACAGTTGATGGCTTCTGGGGGAGGGAGGACCAATTTTTAAGGGTGTTGTTTCTGGTAGGCTGACCATGCTACAGTGGATGCCTCCAGAATAAGAAGTATATGGCCAACAAAAAATGGAGTTAGTGAGCTATTAAAATTTTTAAAAAAGGACACAGGGATAAGGAGGATATTAAAACATTAATTTAAAAATGAAAATAAAGATAGCTATATCTTCAGAAAAAGAATACTGGTTAGTGTATATGTGTATGCATATACCTGAAACTGGTATTGTAAAATACTTCACACTAGCTGACATAAAGCTACAAAACTGATGTCCTGGAATAATTTGGAACAGACAAAACAGTAATCAAAACAATAAAGACTATTTATGACAAACCTGTAGCCAACATTAAACTAAATGAGGTAAAACAATATTTACTCTAAAATTTGGAAGAATACAGGGTTCCTACTCGCTCCACTTTTAACTCAACATATTTCTTGAAGTCTTAGCTAGAGGAATAAGGGAAGAGAAAATTATAAAGGAGATAAAATATGAAAGGAAGAAGTCAGATTATCCCAATTCACAGACATAATAATTGGATACTTAAAAGATCTTGACATTTACAGTAAAATGAATGCAACTGGAGATCATTAAAGGAAATAAGACAGACTCAAATAGAGAAATACTGTATGTTTCTCTTTTATATGTGAGTCATAGCTTTTGGGGGGTGTGTGTGTGTGTGTGTGTGTAGAGCATAAAGCTGGAAGTGGGACCATGAGAAGGGAAAAGAATATTGAAGAAGTGGAGCACAATAGAAGACTTGTGACATAGAACCAAAAATGAGACTACCAGGGGTAGGAAAATGTCCAAGTGAGTGAGGAGTGAGCTGGAAAGGACTGTCTAGTAAAATCACATTTGTAAATGTTATAATAAAAACCTAATAATTTTGTGCCAATTAAAAATTTTCAAAAGAAAATCTTACAAGGTATATATGGTCTTTTTAACACTGATTTTGGATTTATGACCTCCAGATTGTAAGAAAACAAATTTCTGTAGGTTTAAGCCACCAAACTGCAGTATGTTTTCAAAAAGCTTTAGACAACTAAAGGCATCCAAATAAATATACACACTTACGTATGCATACATATAAACACAAATGTGCCTTTTTCTTAAAATAATCTTTATTTTTCTTTTCTAAATTATCTCAGTGTCTGTGGCAACTTTTGTACTTTTAGTGGTTGAACATATATTTTCATCAGTTTCCTGGATATTATTGCTTTCAATATAAGTACAAAGTCAATTACAGTTTCCTTACTCTATTTTTTTCATACCAAGGATTGTTATAGTAAGACAATCCCATATATGGGGATTGTTTTTCTTTACAAGCTTCTATGTGTCCTTTAATAATAGTCCCTATCAATTACGCTGTTTTTAATTGTGAATAAATGTGTATAGCTAGTAAAAGAATATTATCTGCATGAACTACTTGATTAATATTTTAGGCACATAGCACTCAGTTTTAACAGAGTTAGAGAGGATGCTCAACCTATGAAAGTATATAGTCTACAGGAGCAGAACTGCACCCTATGGTTGAGTCTAACTCTTCAGTATATAGAGCAGTCTTATCTTGGAGGTCCTCATTCTCATAATATGACCTTCCTCCAGTGGATTTTGAAGGGATTCAACATAACCAGCAACATCATTAGTATCTTTCTGATACTATCACAATCTTACAACTGAGATTGCCTCCATTGGGCCTGCACAAGACTAGGTCTCTCATTAGTCAACCACAGAGTGAGGATTCTATCCCTTTCTTCTAAACTACTGGCTACTTAAGGATTATAGGGGAAGAACAGTCATTGTCTTTAACTATGTACCCACAGATAACTCAATGGATAGTTCCAGACACATGGTCACATAGATGGTCCTGGGTCACAATGCAAAACAAAATACATAAATATGAGACAAGAACTTATAGGGAAGAAGTAGGATGAGCAGGGGTAGAAAAAAGATATGACAGGGTGAGGGGTGAGAGTAGCCAGAATATATTCTAAAAATACGGAATGCTCAACAAAATTAATAAAACAATAAAAGAAAATGCAAGAAGCATGGATCTTCAACTATGTGGCAAATACACAAAACAATGAGAGTGTTCTGCAAGATAGGCTCTGGCTTCCAGGATAAAACTAGATAGTGCAGCTTGTTTACATGGAAATTATTGTATTAGAACAAAATCTCAACAGAGGTTTGAAGAAATAATAATAAATGAGATAGTGACACTCAGGAATTTCTTGGTGTGCTATTCTTAGGATCGTGGACCTGTCTGGGTGGACTTATCCTCTGGAATCGTGTCCTTTACCTGGAGAAGGTAAAGAAGACAATTGGGAGATCAGCAGATACAAGAATACTAGCACCATTTCCAGGTCACCTGGCCTCTTCTCACTTGACTTGAATTCCCAAATGTCACCTTGAGTAAAGCAAGGCTTTGTATAGCTCTGTTGTAATTCCACTGGTCATCATGATGACATCTGTGATAGAAAATGAACAGGGATCATCCAACAAGAAAAGATACACTGACAACAAACACAAAGGCATCTGTGTGACAGAAACATGATTCTCCATATATTTCAAGATATTCAGCAAAATGACCCTTCTGCTATAATATGAGCAAATTCCTAAAAAATCCAAATGTCTCTCATTAAATGAACAGGGTCTGTGGATTTGAGGGAATGATCAAGTAGCGATTTTAAATGGTTAGTCAGCTTACTGTTTACTGAGAAGAAACTGCCCAGTAAGATAGTAAATGAAATGAAATAAAGAAGTGAAGCCTGTATGTTCCCATAACTCACTCTCCTACACCAACCTCACACCACATTACCATGTACACACAACACTCACTTTTGAGACCTCTCAACATTTGCCCCAGATTGGGTACAGAATGTTGGCACCATGTCCTGTTGATCTTGAGAAAAGGAAGGCAAATAGCAGGAGGAAGATGTGGCCACAGGGGTGGCGGCACTGGGAAACCCATGGACATTGCTCAAAGACAGCTTGTCATTGATGATACAAAGGCTGGAGGGAAGACATTCCCTGAAACTGATGGAAGAACAGACAAAACTGTACTTGCCAACAACCATCATGCTGTCACTCTTCAACAACTGGGTGTTTCCAATATCCCCTCTTTCCCCCCTGGTTATCTATAATACCCCTGGAGAATGAGTGCACTGTTGGAGACTGTCTATATTACTAGAATGGCAGGTTCAGCTTTAATTAAAGAATGGCTTAGCCTGGTGGTCTTGGCGCATGCCTTTAATCACAGCACTCATGAGACAGAGGCAGGTGGATCTCTGAATTTAAAGTCAGCCTGGTCTACAGAGGAGTTCCAGAACAACCAGGGTTTACAGAGAAACCTTGTCTCAGAATACCAGAGTAGGGGGCAGGAAAGAATGAGGGAATGGTTTTTATGTTCTCGTCTGGCCTTTTATCAGCTAAAAAGAGTGGACAGTAGGATCAACACCTTTAGAAAACAGCTATAAATGGACAACGCGACTTGAAAAAATTTGCAAAACAAGTGAGTACTACAGCAAGAAAGAGCCTGATCGTCTGACTCCCAAGTCCACACTGTTAACCACTACACTAGCCCTACTCCTTGAATCTACCTATTGACCTCCCATAATATTGGTAATATTCCCCAAGAACTGCACCACCACATTGTCACACTGATGGCCCCACCATGAAATGAGAGTATCCATTCACAACCAGCACTTACTCTGAACTGTTGCCACAGGTAGCAACGAAGATCCGAGTGAAGGCATGAACACACCCTGGAGAGCTGTCCTCCACTTTGTGGACAAGAAAAATAAAGCATCCTTACTACAGTTATACATGTTTTACACCCTCACGAAACATTCCTCAGTCAGGGCCTTAGGCTGAAAGGGCCTAGGACCACTCAACTATTGGCTTGGAGTCATGGGTCTGTGGTGGAAATGGGAGGCAGGCGGGGGCAACAAGGAGAATAATCCACTCATATTGATGGGTCTCCGGCCATATTCTGGACCCTGAGAAAAATAACTTCCAATGTTCACTTGGGCTCTGATTCACATCTGTCTGGGGTGGAGGGTAATCAGCACCATGGCATATGGGGAGATGCAGAGGCTAAGCAAGTGGCCCAAAGTCACAGAGTAAGGATCTGGAATGAGAGCCAACAAACCCTGCAGCCCATGTGCTCTCCCTGACAGAAGATAGATAGAAGCTGTGCAAGAGACAGGCACAGACCTCGGTCAGACTAGGATGGTCTGCAGGCAGGAGAGCACACGGGAAGGCACATAATGAGGGGAGCTGGGTGAATTCTCAGAGATGCACATCCAGGTCAGGAAGCAATAAGGTACCTGGAGAGGGGATTCTACAAGCACTCACCTTCCTTGAACAACCCACTAACAGAGAAGCAGAGTGTTGTTTCCTGAAAGGGAAGAAGGCACAGACAGGCTTAGGGTCCTGCCTAGCCTTCTACTCACCACCAGCTTTCTGAGTATGAAAGGAGCAGGTGCTTACTGTCTGGAAACATATGTCCACCACGAAGGAGGTGAGGTCGTGTTGAGTTTTGGGCAGTGAACGAAGGAAGTGAATAATGTCACATTTCCTGTGCCTGAGCAGCTGCCTCCGCAGATCTGTAAAGGAGGAGACAGAAAGATTTGTGTCCTTGGAGTTGCACATGCTTTGCACACACAGCATTCCCCATTATGTCAGAGACATAAGCTCAAGGGTCCAGGAAGAGACAGCTGGTTTGAAGTCAAGTGAGTATGGAAGGAATGGGGAGGGCAACAACAGGAACCTTAACCTCTGGTATCTGTGATTGTGCCTTCTATCCTCCTTTATTCTGCCCAGTCCTGCCCACCACACACTTACAAGGATCCTTGAGAATCTTCATATTCCTGCTATACTTGAAGTACTCACACAAGCTGATCCTAGGAGAAAAGGAGGGAATAGATGTGGTGGTCCAGCCAGTGTGATGGTTCCAAGGCATTGCCTGTATCTGCTGGAGAACAGAGTGCAGTGCCCTGGGAAAGAGTTTGAGTGGAATGCGCTACTCACGAGGATAAGTCCATGGAACTGAAAGGGACAGTTAAGGAGAAGCAAGCCTCAGCATGGTAAGCATTGAGGAGTCCCTGCCGATCTCCATAGTCATAGATGAAGTAATACCTTTGGGGGGAGATGATAGAGTGGGATAATCTCATTGGTTTGGGCCCTGAACAAAATTTCATAGTTTTATCACCTAGAGCTATAATTTTATAGCCTCACCTCCCCGCTTATTGCTCCCTTTTGTCAGATTCCCAGAGGTACTTACTGCTGCAGGAACTGTAGGACCATTGACTTTATGGACTCCGATCCAAAAAAACTTCCCTGAAATAAAAGTGAACAGAATGTAGGCGTTGACCGACTCTTACACACAAATTAAAATCTCTCTTCTCACCTTCCAAATTGGTAAGGTCTTCTGATCTTCAGGGCCACAGACAGTTGGTTTTTGTGATTTCTGTCCATCCTGTGGGAGACAAGAGAATCAAATGCACAGCTGGAAGGTGGTGCTGGATGTTGAAGGAAAGGGATGGGTTTACAGGAGCCTTAGAAATGTCACTGAAGTAGTGCAGTTGGGATCATGGCTTGCATCTGGCAAGTTCCCCTGTGAATCTGAATCACTTTTCCCTATCTCTTTGAGGCTTAAGGGACAGCTGCAGAAAGTTTAACTTGAGCAAGACCTATTAGCTTTCAGAGAAGGTTGGATGCAGTGTCAGTCCCAGTTCCAGAAATCAATAATCAAGGAAAACACTTACCAGGCTTAGTAACTTGGGGAACATTTCCAGAATTGAACTTTCAAAAAAAAAAAAAACAGAAAATAAAAAAGGGTGAGGCTTATTAAGAATTATGCAGTATATATGTGTATACAAACATTACACAGCATCTCATTAATATATAAGATAGATGGCATTTTTGGTTAATACATTGACTTTTTATGCATTCATTCATCTATTGACATATAAATATAGGAACACCATTAAAAATCATACAAATATAATTGAAAGTAAAAATCCCCTCCTTGTGGAATGACCTACAAGAAAGAGACTTGTCTTTCCCCCTGTACTCCCCTTCCCTCACATTGTTGGCTAGCTCCTATACACATCACTCTAGTCCCTTTCTCTGGGCTCACATCACAAGAAGCCATGTTGGAGGAGCCAGTGTCCAAGGACTCCTCTCCCCTCCTTAGGGTCCCCACAAGAGGAAGCTTTGCAGTGAGCAAGATGTGGGATGGGAGCCCAGGTCCTTGGGGTACCCACCATTGTAGAGATTTGAGCCAAGCAGGGATATATGCTATGGCATGGCTCAGGACTCAGTAATTGAAGTCAGGGAGATGGTGATGGAAAGATAATGAAAGGAAATGAAGGAGATGTCAGGGAAACATAAGAGAGTGGAAGCTAAGGACAAAGACAAAGCCACACAAGAATGAGAGATGATGGTACTCTATCTTTCTCAGTGCTAAGAGGGGCCACCAGCGGGATACAACCTACATGGTGAGACTCAGCTAAAAGCTTTCTATCAGGTAGTGCATCTTTGAGGCCACTACTGCAAATCTGAATCTAACGTCTGATTCAGGGAAATGCAGTACAAAGCTTCCTTCCACTTGCCCCTTAGACCAGCAGGCGGTTCCCCCATTAGACTAAGACTGCAGTTAAAAGGTCTCTTTTGGCTTCTGCCCCTGCCTGGTCCTCTGGGCTGGAGCAGACACAGAGTCGGTCTGCTC